TTGGTGGATAATTGGGCTAAAATATAGTTGGGCTCTTCTAGTTATTTGCATAATGGTTCATGTCATTAAGAATTTTTAATATTTTTCATTAAAAATTTCCTAAAATCCTATTTGGATGACATACAATTTTACAAATCAAACACTAATACTTGAATTTCGAAAATCATCACTTTCACTTATTTTTGTTTCTTAGATTTTTTATTTAAGAAGATTTACATACTAACGCAATTTTTTTTGGGTTCGTTGAGCTCAAAAAAATTAGAGAGAACCAATAATCTCAAACGTATGTGATTTACATTAAAATCACTTACGTTCAATCTAAGTGTCATGTATATTAAATTTTGTAATATAAGATATATTTATCTTTGGGAGATATACCATTTGATCTTTGTTGTTTCTAATTTCTCCTTTATATTATAAAAATTATATTCTGTATATTAATTGAGGAGACACTAATTGAACAAATCATATGTGTCATTCAATGAGAACTTTAAGGAACATGTCATTAACTTTAACCAATCAAAACCTTTCAATTATAATTATATATCATGGTAGAATTTTCTACATTTTTTCATTATTTTAATAACAAAACTCAAGTAATACATGTTTTACAAAATTAAGCCCAACTAAATCTAATATTTTGTCAATTACTTCATAAAAATGGTATTAATGTCTATTTGGATATCATATGTGATTGATCATTCAACTATTTTATTCTATGTTGTTTAACTGTATCCATATTACTCTAGCTAAAGTTGAGCTTTTGTTAAAATGTACAAATTTACAAGTAGTTGAATGATGGAATTTTGAAACATCATCATTTTAAATTTTATTATTTCTTTGATTTTTTATTTGAAAAGATTTTTACGTACTAACGCGATATGTTTTTTGGTTTTGGTGAACTTAAATAAGTTTGAGAGAACCGATAATTTCAAACATATTCAATTTACATAAAAAATGCTTACATTCAATCTAAGTGTCATGCAAATGAATTTGTTGTAAGATAAAATATATTTATCTATATGAAAGATATAGCATTTGATATTTGTTATTTCTAATTTCTCATGTATATTATAAAAAATCATGGATTTTTCTTTTTCAATTCTAATCCCGCGTTTGACGCGGGCCAAAAATCTAGTATTATTTTATAAGCACGAATCTTTCCGGTTGAGTTGTAGAGAATTCACAATATTTATAACAAGTCACAATGACTTATATAGAGAATCATCAATGCTATATATTAAATTAGGTTTAGCCATAAATAATTATTGAAAAGGAATAGGTTTATTCGGTGGGTAATTAGGCTTTACCTATTATTTTGTTTAATGGATCATATCATTGTAAGTTTTAATATTCTTCATTAAAAGTTCCTTAAAACCCTTTTAGGATAACACCTATGATTTTCACCTAGTGTCTCTTCTATTAATATATAGAGAATATTATGACATTTGGTTTTTCAACAGCTATGTAATTATTTAAAACGGTTTGGAAATTTAAACGAGAGGTGAGGAGTTTAAATACGAAATATCATATGGGTATATTATATAGTAGCACTTTTTGCTAAAATAGACGACTTAGGCTCCGAATGGTACTCCGTTTTGGGTGTGACTGCGATTCGTGTGAGAGAACGATCCGATTTGGAAGCGATGCGATTAGTTAAAATTGTGAATGGAAATGTGATTTGGGCGTGATGTGATTATTTTTATATTTGTGAATGACAATATGATTCGGGTGCATTAGAATGCAAAATTACTAAAAGGGCATTTTTCAATGTGTTGATTTTTTTGTTACTAAT